AGTCATATTCTTCTTAACCTTCACCCATATCTCTTGTGCAATTCACTAGCTGTTTGTCGCTGTTAAAGCTATCCTCAGCTCAGTATGTCAAGTGACTGGACAGAAATGTTGATAATTCGCCGTCGGGGCTCACGTTCTCCAGAACACGGATAATTGGTTATTTCAAGTTGTTGTTTTGGATAGGTCAGTTAGTAACTGTAACAAGTTTGTAACGCACGTGCATAGCCATTGTACTTCTCATTGAATTTTTACTTTGGTAGCGTTTTCGGTGCCATTGTCGTCGTGGCTTGTGTCAGTTCCCAAATTTAGTTGCCTTGAAGAAAGATCTTCTTAACCAATTGCCTGACTTCATTCCGGATATCCTTCATTCGCCACAAATATAGAAGAGGGTTAAGCAAAGGATATAAATGCACAAGTATCGTTGCGATGGTGAGAAATAAGCTAGTGAATTCATTTATCGGACGAACAAGCGCTAGCACCATAGCGATAGCTATGGGCAAGAAACATATATAGAAAGCAGCTAGAATAAAAAGGATTGTGTACACAGATTTCTTGTATTTCTCGAAGTTAATAGCTGGTTGGGCAAAGTTTTGTTGCAACTCGTTGGCGTGAATTTGCTGCTGATGGCGGCGAATTGTTTTGAAAACTTTAAAGTAAGCTACTGATGTGAGCGAAAGGCAAACCACCAAAATTGAAATAATAGCAACGCGAAATAAATAACTAAAGGTTTCTTCAACGAAAGTCCAAGCTAACGGGATAGGGATGAGCAACAGTACTACAAGCGTCACTCTGGTGGGACGAACAGTGATGAAAGATCGACGGGTCATGTGCAGCCATCGCTCAATTGACATGAACGTCATCAGCAACATCGTAACTTGGAAACAATACGCGCCACAACCACTGCTAATAGCTTTGGTTGTGATATAGGCGGCCGGCCGGGTCATTTTCTCGAAAAGCTTGATCTGATGAGTGTCTGTTAAGTAGATCAACCCATTTGCAACAAAAAAAGGCTGAACGAATAACCCATTGCAGACGCCAGTTAAGGCCAATCCAGCGAGCAGAATGTAAGACGGTGTTCTGAGTGACGAGTTCCTCAAAATTGCAGCACAAACAAGAGCATTTCCTATCACTGCTATTGGTGAGAATAGTGCAAGAAGAACCGTACATGAGAGAATTATTGGAAAAGGAGTAGAGTTGTTCTTGAGGGGAGAATTTGTTGTTGAATTAGTCTCGTTGTTGTTCATGACGATGCAGCTTATCGACAAAAAAAAGAATGATGACTCTTCATCTATGCTGTAAGAACGCTTTTAATTTTTATGTGTTAAGAACCTTTCACCTGGTTCCTATTAAGGCGTCTCATCGTTGAAGTAAATATATTCATCCTGCCTACAATACCAGTGCTTTTTAATGTGAAGCTTTGATGATANCATAGCGATAGCTATGGGCAAGAAACATATATAGAAAGCAGCTAGAATAAAAAGGATTGTGTACACAGATTTCTTGTATTTCTCGAAGTTAATAGCTGGTTGGGCAAAGTTTTGTTGCAATTCGTTGGCGTGAATTTGCTGCTGATGGCGGCGAATTGTTTTGAAAACTTTGAAGTAAGCTACTGATGTGAGCGAAAGACGAACCACCAAAATTGAAATAATAGCAACACTAAATAAATAACTGAAGGGTTCTTCAACTAAAGTCCAAGCTAACGGGATAGGAATGAGCAACAGTACTACAAGCGTCACTTTGGTGCGACGAACACTGATGAAAGATCGACGGGTCAGGTGCAGCCATCGCTCATTTGACATGAACGTCAGGAGCAACATCGTAACTTGAAAACAATACGCGCCACAACCATTGCTAATAGCTTTGGTTGTGATGTAGGCGGTTGGCCAGGTCATTTTCTCTAAAAGCTTGATCTGATGAGTGTCTGTCAAGTAGATCAATCCATTTGCAACAAAAAAAAAGGCTGAACGAATAACCCATTGCAGACGTCAGTTAAGGCCAATCCAGCGAGTAGAATGTAAGAAGGTGTTCTGAGTGACGATTTCCTCCAAATTGCAGCACAAACGAGAGCATTTCCTATCACTGCTATTGGCGAGAATAGGGCAAGAAGAACCGTACATGAGAGAATTATTGGAAAAGGAGTATAGTTGTTCTCGAGGGGAGAATTTGTTGTTGAATTGGTCACGTTGTTGTTCATGACGATGCAGCCTATCGACAACAAAAAGAATGATCACTCTTCATTTTTGCTCTAAGAGCGCTTAACTTTTATGTGTTGAGAACCTTTCACCTGGTTCCTATTAAGGCGTGTCATCGTTGAAGTAAATATATTCATCCTG